ACAGATGTTTATCGAGAAGCGTTTGAATGTGGTTCACTTCCTGAAAGTTTCAATCAGGCTATAATTACTCTCATACCAAGGGGGGATAAAGATCTTACAGATCCAGTCAATTACCGTCCCATAAGTTTGATAAATGTTGATTGCAAAATACTGTCAAAAATTCTAGCCACGAGATTAGAGATTGTGTTACCACAGATTATTCACAAAGATCAGGTGGGCTTTATTAAGCATCGTTCTTCAGCTGATAATATGCGAAGACTTCTGCATCTTTTATGGGGAATTAAGGACAACAAAAACCCCGTAGTGGCAATATCACTTGATGCTCAGAAGGCCTTCGACAGGGTGGAGTTTTTTGTTCACTGCTCTGTCAAAGTTTGGACTGGGTGAAAACTTTTGTAGGTGGGTTAGCACTCTGTATTCAGGCCCAAAAACCGCTGTCTTTACCAATGGAATATTGTCCAATTATTTTCGTATCTCCAGATCCACGCGTCAGGGCTGCAACCTTAGTCCACTTCTGTTCACTATTTTCCTAGAGCCATTGGCTATTAAAATTAGGGAAGAAGCTAGAATCGTTGGGGTGAACGGAGGGGGGAGGGAACACAAATTATTTATGTATGCCGATGATATTTTGGTATTATGTCAGGAACCTGCCAACTCCGTTAAAACATTGTTGGAGGTGATAGATGACTTTTCTAAACTATCAGGTTATAAAATTAATTGGCATAAATCAGAGGCAATGCCTGTATCAAAAGCGTGCTCTGTAAACTTATTATCCACTTTCAATTTCAAGTGGTTACAAAAAGGCATGAAATATTTAGGAATAACACTTAATCCAGATATTAATGAAATCATGGTAGAAAATATAGAAAAACTGCTTACTAAAAATCTAACTTGGATAACTGGAGCAAGTTACATTTAACATTATGGGGTAAGATAAACACAATAAAGATGGTTATAGCTCCTTTGATAAATTATTATACTGGAATGATACCAATCTGTATCCCAGCTCAAATTCTTCTAAAATATAATAATATGATTAAACATTTTCTATGGGACGGTGGTAAACCTAGAATTAATATTGGCAAACTATGCCAACCCAAAAAAGGAGGGCTGGCCTTACCTAACATAGAACATTATAGCATTTCATTTGAAATGTCCAAGATGTGCAAGCATTGGCCAGAAATTAATCAGATTTAGACTGGGTTTCAATAGAGCGGGAACTTTCCTCTCCGTTCACCCCTGTCGAGGTATTGACTCAAAAGATAGATAATAAACAGAATAAAATAGATAACCCCATATTAAAATTCTCAAAAATGGTTTGGCAAATGGTCCACAAAAAACTTGCGCTCTCTCCATATATCCAGAGATATGCGTCCCTGTGGCACAATCCTAAGATTAACATCGGCAAACAGTCAATTTATTGGTCACATTGGTTTAAGAAAGGTATACGAATAATTGGTGATTTATTTGTAGAAGACACATTTATATCATATAATGATCTGAAAGAAAAGTTTAAGTTAGAGGGACAAAGCAATTTTTGGAAATACTTACAAATTAGAGATTGTTTGAAGGACATAACAAAACTCCACTTGGAGAAAAATCCGATAGAGAGTTTTTTACAACTTCCACCTTTACTTAGTAAAGCATCAAAATGGTATAACATATGTCCATGGGTTAAAAACAATACAAGTAAGAGTCTTAAAATGGTATGGGAAAGAGATTTGGACTGCACTTTTGAAGATGAAACATGGGGTTCTATTGTTTCTAAAAGCGG